GATAGACTATGTAAAGGTAAACCAATAAGGAGGGAGTTGCAGTAGTTGAGGTGAGAGATAACCAGGGAATAAATTAGAAGCTTTGTGGTATCATTGGTTAAAAAGGGGCATATTCTGGAGATGTTATGGAGGTTGAGGCAGTATGATTTGGACAGTGATTGGATGTGAACCTGAAAGGATAGTTCAGAATCCAGGGTTACCCCTAGCACCATGGCATGTGGGGACGAGTTGATAGTTGGGCTATTGATTTTGACCGAGAATTCAGGAGAAGAGGCACGTGGGGGAGGAAATATTATTATATTATGTCACACCACTTCCTAAAACTCAATCTATCCAAAACGGAGTTCATAATAAGATTAACAGGGATGTTGAAGTCACCAAGAATGATTGTGGGAGTTTCAGAAGAGAGAAAGTAGGGTAGCCAGGCAGAGAAGTCATCCAGGAAGCTTAATGTCCAAGAGGCCGATAGATCACTTTGCAATTCCTAAAGAAACTGGAGTGAATAGAAGAATAGAGTGAACTTCAAATGAGTAGAGAGACAGAGAGGGGGTGACTGAAGGATCTGAAAATTGCTTTGAGGGGATAGGAGGATTCCAACTCCACCTCCCCTCAGTCCACTAGGGCTCGGAAAGTGAGTCCAAAGAAGGCCACCATGGGAGAGGGCAGCAGGAGAGGGAAAGTCAGATTCATGAAGCCAGGTTTCAGTAATTGCAAGTGGGTTAAAGGAGTTTGTGATAAAAAAAAGTCATGGACAGAGGTGAGTTTGTTACAGACAGAGCGGGCATTCCAAAGGGAACAGGGAAAGGGGAGGCTGATTCTAGGAAGAAGAAGAATAGAAACCAGATTGTGTGGATTGCGGCTGCAGTTAGAGGATAGGGGGTGGTGGGTGTGTTGGTCAAAGGAAAATTATGGCGGCCCAGGATTTGGTGAGATGTCTCCAGATGTTAGAAGTAGAAGGGTTAGAGAGGTAATATGGGAGTAGGACTTATAAGGAGGGAAATGTCCCAGTGTCCTGGAGGTTTTATTAGTATGTGGGTTCAGAATTAGCAGGAGATGAGTGCAGTAATAAGGTGAAGACAGGAATGAAGGTGATATACATAAGCTTGGGGTGATGGGTGAAGGAAAGAGAGTTTGAGGAGAGAGGATACAACTGTGAGAGGGAAAAGAGTGCATGTGCTTGTTACAGAGTGGTGAAATTAGGAATCAGACTTGGTAAGAGATGAAAAAGCGGGATGGGGAAACAGGTCACCTGCAGTCTGTTTAGTGTTTTGCAGTTGTTTCCTGTAGTAGTCTGCTGTGGCTTCTTGTTTTGTGCAGAGCCGAAGTGCAATACTTAATCCAAGAAGATAGTTGTCAATGCTAACCCCTGCATGTGCTTCCCCTAGGGAAGGCCTAAATTTATAATGAGTTGGGTGAGGGTATTGCCAAATAGTCAATTAGGAATGCATAGTAGAAACGCATGGCTAGCAGGGCAAACTTCTCACACCAGAGGAGGACTACAAGAGACAACAAGAGAACAGGAGGGCAGAGTTGTAAAGATTAGGATCAGCTCATACATTTTGTTTAAATGAGAACAAAATAAACATCACAGTAAATATGGACAGAGCTAAAAAGTTTGGCAGCAGCATAGATTACCATAGAGCATAGCAGTGTCAATTAGCAGTCATGCATGGCATGGAGATAGTACAGATGGATATTGCTCGCAGACATTTACCTGTGCTATTTACCTAAAGTGAACCTTCACTATCTCAATCAACAATGACTTTTTTTTAATCCTTATGCTGCTAGCATTAGTAAATACTATAGATAGGATGATATATCATATTTACTTGTTTTAAAACCGTTTTTCTTACAATTCATCATTTACTTCCTGGTTTCCAGGCCTAGGCAAATGATGTCATACAGCCCAGAAGTCTTCAGGAGAAGAGGAGGGTTTTTCTCAGCTAAGAACACCCTCCTGCCTGTATGTCTGAACTAAAGGCAGATGGATTCCGGGAAGTAAACGTTACATGAATCATCTGCCTTTACTCAAGATGGCCAGAAATTAGTGGTGCACCGAAATGAAAATCTAGTACCGAAACCGAAAATTCAGGATGCACTTGGCTGAAAACCGAAACCGAAATGGACAGTCTTTAAAAATTTATATTTTTTTATATATAATTGTATTATATTCACAAGAAATGTAAACATCCCTTGTGATAGAAATAAGCAGTGACATGTCCTCTTTATGGAGAGATATGGGGTCAATAAGACCCCACATCTCTCCTCTACAATGTAAAGCATAGATAAAATGATGCCGCTTTGGTCCTTCAAGGGCATAGAGATGAGTGGAAGTCATCTTTCCTTCACTGATCTCTGCACAGCCACCGGGATCATTGGATGGGTTCATGGGCTTACCAATCGCCCAGGTAAGCCTGAGAACCACTGTAAGGTGCGGGGGGGGGGGGAGGTTGGTGTGCTTATTGCTGCTCCTAAACGTAATCTAGTCCCAAATTTGCCGCTTAGACCATTTTTATTGTAAAGGGAATCACCGGCTTAAACAAAAAGAGTACCACGGCTATTTTCGGCACCTGTATCAGCTCCTATTTTCATATTGGCCAAAGGCCAATTAGGGCGGTTTTCAGCTGCCAAATTTTTGGTGCATCCCTACCAGAAATACAAGGGGGTGTTTTTTGATTTCTCAGCAGAATAAAGCATGGAGACATGGATGGGTGGAGGAGATAGCTTTGAATATTACAAATGAAATAAATAACCTTTTTTTGGTATGAGTGGCTCAGGTACAGTGTAGTTCCGCTTTAACATCATTTCAAGCACTAGTCATAGAACATAATACTTGAACATTAGAACCATCAGTGCACTGATTTTCCCTTAACTAGTTTTACTGCCGTAGCATCTTCCCTTGCGTTAATGGAACCATATTGATTTATTTGACTTTTTTAATCACACAATGTAAAGGGCAGCAGTGGGCACTAACCATAGCAAGTTGCTGTAAATTACTAGAGCCTGGATGTCATTGATCTTCTCACTGTTTTTCAGAAATTCACCAAATGTATTTTTGGACATGCAATACAACCATGAGCAAAAAAAATGCCACATTCTACCACTAGAGGGACCTGAAGAAAAGGAGACCAATATCTTATGTATCTCAATACAGATCTTACATCTTGCTTCTTCCATCCAGCTCCCTCTAAGGGTGGCTGGGAGTAGCTTCTGTAGAAGAGGAAGATGTAAAGACTGGAAACCCTGTGTTTAACCACTTGCCTACTGGGCACTTTTACCCCCTTCCTGCCCAGGCCAATTTTCAGCATTCAGCGCTGTCACACTTTGAATGACAATTGAGCGGTCATGCAACACTGTACCTATATGAAATTCTTATTTTGTTTCACAAAAATAGAGCTTTCTTTTGTTGGTATTTAATCACCACTGGGTGTTTTATTTTTTTTTTGCTAAACAAACCAAAAATTTTTTTTTTGAAAAAATAAAGCTTTTCCTTGTTTCTATTATAAAAGTTTGCAAACAGTTTTTAATCTTTCTCCTTCACTGATTTGTTTTGATGAGGCTGCACTGAGAGGCACTGATAGGCAGAACTGATGGGCACTGGTAGGCGGCACTGATGGGCACTAATAGACAGCTCTGAAAGGCACTAACAGTAATAGACAGCACTGATAGGTGGCACTGACTTGCAGTACTGACTGACGGCACTGCTGGGCACAGATTGGCAGCACTGATGGGCACCGATAGGCACTTTTGGGGCTGCACTGATAACCAGGGCACTGATAATCATGCACTGATGTCTCCTTTTACAGTTGCCGGTTATCGTCAGTACTTTCCTCATGCTGTGATGGGGGAGGGGGGAAGGTTGCGCATTCTGGGAGGACGTCATATGATGCCCTCCCTGTAGCTGTCATTAGGCTATAGCACAGTCAAGAAGTGGTTCAAACTCCTGGTTATCCCTTGCAAAATGTTATTCATCACCTAGGTTATATAAATCAACATGTTGTTTATGAGGTAGTGTATAGTATTGACTATACTTGTCTTTATATTACATTCAGTTCTGTTAAATAAATTATTTGCAAGAAGCCTTCCAAAACAGCTCACACTCATGATATTAATACACTACATTTATGCTGTAATTTATGTACTTAAAGTATAATTCCACTTTCATGGGGGAAAAAATTGTAAAAATAATATAGCAAATACAATTGTAATTGAATGTTATTAAAAAACTATCTTTCCTTTTCATTCTGCAGTGCTGTCATTTTCTGCAAAATTCAATGCAACATGGCTACCTGGAGGTGTTCAAGATGCCTCCAGCAACATAAATGTTTGCTTGTGTGATTTGCTCACTGATTTTTCAAGAAATCTGCACTATGATACAAGTCAGATTTCAGGCATCCCCTGCAACAAAAATGTAATTTTTGGTGAGATATTCCCAATAGGAAATCACGTCTAAAGGGATGCAGACCCTGCAATTTCCCCATTAGAGCCCTGCAGATGCAGCAGCTGATTGATAATTATGAAACCACTCCCATTAGATTCACTTTCCATATGGAGAGAGACAAACAAATAGCTATTTCTTCAGAATAATAAACATAGGACTCTGCAACAAAGTTTGTTAAAATTCTTGCAGTGTATATAGATAACCCAGAGTGGAATGTGTTTTTCTTAGCAAAAGTGGAGATACTCTTTAACCACCTCCTGCCCGCCATATAAGGTAACGACGGGTGCAATGCGGTTCTCTCATTCTGGGAGGACGTCATATGACGTCCTCCCATTCTAACCGCACATGCGCGGCAATCGGCGGTGCACTGTGTCCCTCGGACACAGCAGATCACCGATCAACGGAAAGAGCCGAAGATGTTGGCTCGGTCATGTGATCAGCGGTGTCCAATCTCAGCTGATCGCATGTAAATAGGCAAATGCTGGTTATCTGCATTTCTCTCCTCACGAGCTGTCATGTTGCCAGCTCAAGAGGAGAGGAGAGCCAGTAATCGTCATTCCTCAGAGGGGACATATACACTGATCATCAGGGCACTGATGATCATTGTGACCTGATGATCAGTGTAGCCCGAGCAGTGCCACCTGTCAGTGTCCATCAGTGCCACATCAATCATATCAGTGCCTACCAGTGCATATCAATGCCACATATCAGTGCCCATCTGAGCTGCCTTTCAGTGCCACCTATCAATGCCAGTCAGTGCCACATATCAGTGCCGCCTATCAGTGCCAGTCAGTGCTGCCTATCAGTGCCCAGCAGTGCTGCCTATCAGTGCTGCCTAACAGTGCCAGTCAGTGCCGCCTATCAGTACCAGTCAGTGCTGCCTATCAGTTCCACCTATCAGTGCCACCTATCAGTGTCATATATGAGTGCTGCCTTTCAGTGCCCATCAGTGATGCCTGTCAATGCTCATCAGTGCCACCTACCAGTGCCTGCTCATCAGTGCCACCTACCAGTGCCTCCTCATCAGTGCCCATCAGTGCCACCTATCAGTGTCCATCAGTGTAGCCTATCAGTGCCCATCACTGCAGCCTCATTAGCGCACATCAGTGAAGGATAAAAATCACTTATTTACAAAATTTTATAACAAAAACTAAAAAAAAGGGGTTTTTTTTTTTCAAAATTTTCAGTGGTTTTTGGTTTGTTTAGCAAAAAATAAAAAAACCCAGAGGTGATTAAATACCACCAAAAGAAAGATCTATCTGTCTCAAAAAAATTATAAAAAAATTTCATATGGGTACAGTGTTGCATGACCGCGCAATTGTCATTCAAAGTGTGACAACACTGAAAGCTGAAAATTGGCCTGGGCAGGAAGGGGGTATAAGTGTCCTGTAGGCTAGTGGTTAAGGTACCTTATATAGTTAAAGTAGAAGTTTAGGCTATAGAGAATACCCCAATGCTCCCCAGTGCTCCCAAATGATTGTAATCCTTTGCGTGTTTTTCTGCACTTTTTTGTGTTTGTGTTGCCACATTGTAACAATGTAGAGTATCTCACAGAAGTGATTACAACCCTCACTTTTTTGGAAATATTGTATTATATCTTTTCATGTGACAACACTTAAAAAAACACTTTGCTACAATGTAACGTAGTGAGTGTACAGCTTGTATAACTGTAAATTTGCTGTCTCCTCAAAATAACTCAACACACAGCCATTAATGTCTAAACCGCTGGCAACAAAAGTGAGTACACCCCTAAGTGAAAATGTCCAAATTGGGCCCAATTAGTCATTTTCCCTCCCCAATGGCATGTGACTCATTAGTGTTACAAGGTCTTAGGTGTGAATGGGGAGCAGGTGTGTTAAATTTGGTGTTATTGCTCTCATACTGGTCTCTGGAAGTTCAACATGGCACCTCATGCAAAAGAACTCTCTGAGGATCTGAAAAAAAATTTAGCTCTACATAAAGATTGCCAAGAGCCTGAAACTTAGCTGCAGCATGGTGGCCAAGACAATACAGTGGTTTAACCTCTTGCCGACCGCGCATAGCCGAATGACGGCTTCACCGCGGCCGGCCAGTTCTGAGTGGACGTCATATGACGTCCTCCCAGAACGCGCTCTCCTGCGCGCCCCAGGGGGCGCGCACCCGGCGATCTCCGTGATCGCTGTGTCCTACGGACACAGCTGATCACGTGATGTGGTGAAAGGCCGATCCCACCGGCCTTTTACCACGTGATCAGCGGTGTCCAATGACACGCTGATCACAGGGAAATGCAAGTGCCGGTTCTCGGCTGCACTTTCCTCACGCTGTCAGATCGTGAGGAAAGTACTGCCGAGAACCGGCAGTTGTCAGAGCGGGGATCGGCACCGATCATCAGGGCACTGATGATTAGTGCCCTGATGATCGGTGCCCAGCAGTGACACCCGCAAGTTCCGCCCAGCAGTGCGCCCACTAGCCCCGCCCACCCGTTCCCAGCAGTGCCCCCACCTGTGCCCAGCAGTGCAACCTACCTGTGCCCAGAAGTGCCACCTACATGTGCCCAGCAGTGCCACCCACCTGTGCCCACCCACCTGTGCCCACCAGTGCCACCCCACCTGTGCCCACCAGTGCCACCCACCTGTGCCCACCCACCAGTGCTGCCCACCAGTGCCACCCACCAGTGCAGCCCAGCAGTGCTGCCAGTCAGTGCCACCAGTCAGTGCCCAGCGGTTGTGCCAGTCAGTGCCACCCACCTGTGCCCACCAGTGCCACCCACCTGTGCCCGCCCACCAGTGCCGCCCACCAGTGCCGCCCACCAGTGCCGCCCAGCAGTGCTGCCAGTCAGTGCCACCAGTCAGTGCCCAGGGGTTGTGCCAGTCAGTGCCGCCAGTCAGTGCCCAGAAGTGATGCCAGTCAGTGCCGTCTATCAGTACCCATCATCAGTGTCACCTATCAGTGCCACCTATCCGTGACCCCTAATTAGTGCTGTCTATCAGTGCCGCCTATCCGTGCCACCTCATTAGTACTGCCTATCAGTGCCCTTTAGTGCTGCCTATCAGTGCCCATCAGTGCCGCCTATCAGTGCCCATCAGTGCCGCCTCATCAACGCAAATCAGTGAAGGAGAAAAAATACCTGTTTGAAAAATTTTATAAAAGAAACAAACTTTTTTTTTTTTTTTTTCAAATTTTTTGCACTTTTTTTAATTTATAGCGCAAAAAGTAAAGCGCCCAGTGGCGATTAAATACCACCAAAAGAAAGCTCTATTTGTGAGAAAAAAATGATCAAAATTTCATATGGGTACAATGTTGCATGACCGCGCAATTGTCAATCAAAGTGCGGCAGCGATGAAAGCTGAAAATTGGCCTGGTAGGCAAGTGGTTAACAGAGAAGGCCTCGCGATGGTCGACCAGAGAAGTTGAGTGCACGTGCTCAGCCTCATATTCAGAGGTTGTCTTTGGGAAATAGATGCATGAGTGCTGCCAGCATTGCTGCAGAGGTTGAAGAGGTGGGGGGTCAGCCTGTCAGTGCTCAGACCATACGCCGCACGCTGCATCACATTGGTCTGCGTGGCTGTCGTCCCAGAAGGAAGCCTCTTCTAAAGATGATGCACAAGAAAGCCCGCAGTTTGCTGAAGACAAGTCAAGCATGGTGGTGGGAGTGTCATGGTCTGGGGCTGCATGAGTGCTGTCGTCACTGGGGAGCTACCGTTCATTGAGGGAACCATGAATGCTAACATGTACTGTGACATACTGAAGCAGAGCATGATCCCCTCCCTTCAAAGTCTGGGCCGCAGGTCAGTATTCCAGCATGATAATGATCCCAAACACACCTCCAAGACAACCACTGCCTTGCTAAAGAATCTGAGGGTAAAGGTGATGGACTGGCCAAGCATGTCTCCAGACCTAAACCCTATTGAGTATATGTGGGGCATCCTCAAACAGAATGGGGAGGTGCACAAGGTCTCTAACATCCAGCAGCTCCGTGATGTTGTCATGGAGGAGTGGAAGAGGACTCCAGTGGCAACCTGTGAAGCTATGGTGAACTCCATGCCCAAGAGGGTTAAAGCAGTGCTGGAAAATAATGGTGGCCACACAAAAATATTGACACTTTGGGCCCAATTTAGACATTTTCACTTAGGGGTGTACTCACTTTTGTTGCCAGCGGTTTAGACATTAAGGGCTGTGTGTTGAGTTATTTTGAGGGGACAGCAAATTTACACTGTTATACAAGCTGTACACTCACTACTTTACATTGTAGCAAAGTATTATTTCTTCAGTGTTGTCACATGAAAAGATATAATAAAATATTTACAAAAATGTGAGGGATGTACTCACTGTGAGATACTGTATAGCAGTACAAGCGCAACATGCTTTTTTCACACGTTTCATAAATGCACGCAAAATCACATGCATTCATGAAATGCTATAGTGTGAATGCAGCTGAAAGATCACTTGATGCTCACTTCAAGTGTCTGTTCCCATATCTGACCAACCAGTGTCTGTGGCCAGCTTGAAGTGTGAAGGTTGTTCTAGCACTTTTAAAAATAAATTGTGAACATATCTTTTGAAACCTGTTATGGCAGTGTTGGGAGGCAACATGTTTTTATATCACACATTTATGGATTTCTACTGTCTGGTTAACAAAGAGCCATTTGGCCTGTAGGATGTCGTCTTGGAATGTCAATAAAACAAGATTATACAACAAGATGTGTGTAACAAAAGATTGCATACCAAAATCCTGATCCTGGAAGTCAGTTCACGCATACCCCTCACGGTGGGGCATGGAGATAAGAAAGCCTCAGCCCAGATTTCCTGTTGATGTGAAAAATGAAAATGACTAATTGCATGGCTTTTAGCAAGAAGGAAGGCACTTTTAGTAAGAAGGATGTGGACTGGAATGTTGATCTGGGTCAAGACATATTGATTGCAGGGTGCCACTGCCCCCCCCAGTGGAAGACAGCAACATACTTCCTGGAGGATGGTTAGGGTAATACCTTACTTCCAGGTGATTAGGGAGGACAGCCCCTTATAATTCATGGATTGTCACTCATTGGGCAGACGACTACACAGGGCAGGAAGAGGGTGTTTGTGTGAGTTGTGTCTGTGAGTGCTTTAAAATGCAAGGCCCAGCCATACTTTTCCTCTCTTTCTATCCAGAGCCCAGCCAAGATACTTAACTTCGAAGACGAACTTACATAATGTACCATCTCTGCTCTTTTGTTTCTACAGTCAGGTCCATAAATATTGGGACATCGACACAATTCTAACATTTTTGGCTCTATACACCACCACAATGGATTTGAAATAAAACGAACAAGATGTGCTTTAACTGCAGACTGTCAGCTTTAATTGAGGGTATTTACATCCAAATCAGGTGAACGGTGTAGGAATTACAACAGTTTGCATATGTGCCTCCCACTTGTTAAGGGACCAAAAGTAATGGGACAGAATAATAATCATAAATCAAACTTTCACTTTTTAATACTTGGTTGCAAATCCATTGCAGTCAATTACAGCTTGAAGTCTGGAACGCATAGACATCACCAGACGCTGGGTTTCATCCCTGGTGATGCTCTGCCAGGCCTCTACTGCAACTGTCTTCAGTTCCTGCTTGTTCTTGGGGGCATTTTCCCTTCAGTTTTGTCTTCAGCAAGTGAAATGCATGCTCAATCGGATTCTGGTCAGGTGATTGACTTGGCCATTGCATAACATTCCACTTCTTTCCCTTAAAAATCTCTTTGGTTGCTTTTGCAGTATGCTTTGGGTCATTGTCCATCTGCACTGTGAAGCGGCGTCCAATGAGTTCTGAAGCATTTGGCTGAATATGAGCAGATAATATTGCCCGAAACACTTCAGAATTCATCCTGCTGCTTTTGTCAGCAGTCACATCATCAATAAATACAAGAGAACCAGTTCCATTAGCAGCCATACATGCCTACGCCATGACACTACCACCACCATGCTTCACTGATGAGGTGGTATGCTTAGGATCATGAGCACTACCTTTCCTTCTCCATACTCTTCTCT